TTGAACAACAACCATGTTCTCAATGAACCCAAAAAACTCATTAATATCAAAGCTGAATATTTTTGGAAGTAGTTTTTAGTTTGTTTTTAGTTATAGCTATGTTAGGGGCATATCTGTGTGTGCAGGTGACTATTACTGTGCATAATTATTAGGCAACTTAACAAAAAACAAATATATACCCATTTCAATTATTTATTATTACCAGTGAAACCAATATAACATCTCAACATTCACAAATATACATTTCTGACATTCAAAAACAAAAAAAAACAAATCAGTGACCAATATAGCCACCTTTCTTTGCAAGGACACTCAAAAGCCTGCCATCCATGGATTCTGTCAGTGTTTTGATCTGTTCACCATCAACATTGCGTGCAGCAGCAACCACAGCCTCCCAGACACTGTTCAGAGAGGTGTACTGTTTTCCCTCCTTGTAAATCTCACATTTGATGATGGACCACAGGTTCTCAATGGGGTTCAGATCAGGTGAACAAGGAGGCCATGTCATTAGATTTTCTTCTTTTATACCCTTTCTTGCCAGCCACGCTGTGGAGTACTTGGACGCGTGTGATGGAGCATTGTCCTGCATGAAAATCATGTTTTTCTTGAAGGATGCAGACTTCTTCCTGTACCACTGCTTGAAGAAGGTGTCTTCCAGGAACTGGCAGTAGGACTGGGAGTTGAGCTTGACTCCATCCTCAACCCGAAAAGGCCCCACAAGCTCATCTTTGATGATACCAGCCCAAACCAGTACTCCACCTCCACCTTGCTGGCGTCTGAGTCGGACTGGAGCTCTCTGCCCTTTACCAATCCAGCCACGGGCCCATCCATCTGGCCCATCAAGACTCACTCTCATTTCATCAGTCCATAAAACCTTAGAAAAATCAGTCTTGAGATATTTCTTGGCCCAGTCTTGACGTTTCAGCTTGTGTGTCTTGTTCAGTGGTGGTCGTCTTTCAGCCTTTCTTACCTTGGCCATGTCTCTGAGTATTGCACACCTTGTGCTTTTGGGCACTCCAGTGATGTTGCAGCTCTGAAATATGGCCAAACTGGTGGCAAGTGGCATCGTGGCAGCTGCACGCTTGACTTTTCTCAGTTCATGGGCAGTTATTTTGCGCCTTGGTTTTTCCACACGCTTCTTGCGACCCTGTTGACTATTTTGAATGAAACGCTTGATTGTTCGATGATCACGCTTCAGAAGCTTTGCAATTTTAAGAGTGCTGCATCCCTCTGCAAGATATCTCACTATTTTTTACTTTTCTGAGCCTGTCAAGTCCTTCTTTTGACCCATTTTGCCAAAGGAAAGGAAGTTGCCTAATAATTATGCACACCTGATATAGGGTGTTGATGTCATTAGACCACACCCCCTTCTCATTACAGAGATGCACATCACCTAATATGCTTAATTGGTAGTAGGCTTTCGAGCCTATACAGCTTGGAGTAAGACAACATGCATAAAGTGGATGATGTGGTCAAAATACTCATTTGCCTAATAATTCTGCACTCCCTGTATATATATGTATATATATATATATATATATATATATATATATATATATATATATATCATTGCTATCATTGCATACTGCAATACTCTGGTATTTTGGCATATTGTCTACTTGACTAATATGACTAATCCAATCTACTCTCTCTCTCTCTCTCTCTCTATATATATATATATATAATTTAAATGTTGTAGTTTAAATAGTGTTTAATCTCTGTGTACAAACAGTATGTCACTATTATTTGCTCTTTATTTCTATTTTACTTTTTATGTGACTCTGAGACTTTGGACACAATCATCTGTGACTAAATAAGGTATACAGTGAGCACTCCACCTGTATTGGTATATTTATTTTATGTGTTTGGTGTAAGGGTCCAACACAGAGGTGTGAAGCTGCCAGAAAATGTTGTTCATATTGAATACTTTGTACTATTAAGTTTTTTTATACAACTATATGTATAGAAGTGGATCATAGAAACATAGAAACATAGAAACATAGAAACATAGAAACATAGAATGTGACGGCAGATAAGAACCATTCGGCCCATCTAGTCTGCCCAATTTTCTAAATACTTTCATTAGTCCCTGGTCTTATCTTATAGTTAGGATAGTCTTATGCCTATCCCACGCATGCTTAAACTCCTTTACTGTGTTAACCTCTACCACTTCAGCTGGAAGGCTATTCCATGTATCCACTACCCTCTCAGTAAAGTAATACTTCCTGATATTATTTTAAACCTTTGTCCCTCTAATTTAAGACTATGTCCTCTTGTTGTGATAGTTTTTCTTCTTTTAAATATAGTCTCCTCCTTTACTGTGTTGATTCCCTTTATATATTTAAATGTTTCTATATGTTCATATCCCCCCTGTCTCGTCTTTCCTCCAAGCTATACATGTTAAGATCCTTTAACCTTTCCTGGTAAGTTTTATCCCGCAACCCATGAACCAGTTTAGTAGCCCTTCTCTGAACCCTCTCTAAGGCATCAATATCCTTCTGAAGATACGGTCTCCAGTACTGTGTACAATACTCCAAGTGAGGTCTCACCAGTGTTCTGTATAATGGCATGAGCACTTCCCTCTTTCTACCGCTAATACCTCTCCCTATACAACCAAGCATTCTGCTAGCATTTCCTGCTGCTCTATTACATTGTCTGCCTACCTTTAAGTCATCAGAAATAATCACCCCTAAATCCCTTTCCTCAGATGTTGAGGTTAGGACTCTATCAAATATTCTGTACTCTGCCCTTGGGTTTTTACGTCCAAGATGCATTATCTTGCACTTATCAGAACAGTTTTAAATTTTTTTATTCCTCCACTTTTAGTGCCTATATATAGTATTATAAGTGTTATAACAAGGCATGAAATAGTCAGGATACGACACATGCAAAGCTTGTAATCAGCCTTCAAACCAAGCAAGAAGATAGAGTAGGTAAAATAGAGTAGTAGCATGTAACTAGTTCTTAGAGTGGTAAGGCTTAACACGGTGCTCAAGAAAGGCAACAAAACAAAACTATTAGTCAATGTCAAGGGCTACAGACAGGGATAATCAGGAAAAAGCAGGTCAAAAAAAATACAACCAAATAATTAATGGAATTGAGGCTGGAGTAGGTTTATATAGGGGAAGTGTTAAGGCCAGTGTATTTTTGGGAAGCCAAAACATGCATGTGTATTATAACCTAGAAGATACAGAAGAAATTGTGTTAAGAAAATATGAGAAATTAAATGGAACCAAGGGTGAAGGTAAAATAAAATAGAACCGGAATTTGGAAGAGATGAACTGAAACACAAGAAGGAATGGAAAATACACTTTTTTGTTTGACATAGTGTCTTGTGCTAATTGGACCTAACCTCAATTATCATGCCTTTTGCTGTGAATTTTACAATATTAATTGCAACTATATGTCATTATTCATTCTTACCTAAACAGTTGCAACTTTGTGTTTTTTTGATTACAATCTCCCAGCGCTTCAAAATATGACTCTGCAGTGGACTCCAGACTGACTGCATCTACCATGTCTACCATGTCTTCTTATTATTGGAAACATTGATGGACAAATGTTGCCATTTTTATTTGACAATGGTTGATTGCTGGGTCACGCTTGACCCGTTTTGGTTGTGTATCTGTAGGTGTACAAAGAAACGGTTAAATTGTAGGTATACTAGAGCATTATGCGTGGGTTAGACTTTGATTATTCCAATAGGCAATTATTCCACAAATATTTGGACTTCTGTTTTAATACTAAGACAGGAAATGCGTATAACTATGTTGTTGGGAATTGGGTATTTTCTTAACATCTTTTCTTATTCCCTTTCTTTGGCTTTACTTTTTATATCTGTGGGTGCATTTTTACCCACAGATTTAAAAGCAAGTAAATATGTTTAAAAGCAAGTAAATATGTGTCCAGCGCCAGATTTCCCATTAGTCAGAGTAGGCATCTACTCAGAGTAGGCATACCTGATGGGGGCACCTACTCTGACTGTTCCCCTCCCTACCGCTTGTCCTGTTTGTCCTGGTTTCAGCACTCTGGGATCGCTGCATTCATCTGACGAGCTTGATCTGTGCATCGCCCCCCAGACTGAACACAGCAATCTCTTGGAAGGAGAAGGGAGAGAACCGGTGACCAGAATGACAGGTACACCCACACAGCTACTCATATTGCTGCCCATACTGTTACACACAAATATACACACACTGCTACACATATTGCTGTCCACATTGTTACACACACATACTGCTGCCAAGACTGCCCACACACACTGGTGCACATACTGTAACTACACACAATACAACACATGCTGCTACCCACACTGTTACACTTACATATACTGCTATCTACACTGTACACACGCTCTACAAAAACATGCTATGAGACAGACATGCATAGACAAACACATAGAGATATACTCAGACATCTACACACTTCTACACATGCAAAAACATTACACACACATATGCATCATACACATACACATACATTGACTGTATATGTGTATATTCAATAATGTACATCATATTTCAATGGACGTGATTAAGTTTTATTAGTTTGGAGGGGGTGGGTATTAGGGGTGCTTGAGAATTCTGTACCTACAGGTGCTTGCGATGTAAATCTAGTCATGTCGATGGGGCGGGGCCTGGCTGCCAACCGAGATGGCCGCATGCAGAGTGTGCTCTGTGTAAAACACTCCAGCAGAGCCCTAATTCAGAATCTTTACATTAGCAAACTCGACTACCTGAAAGCAGGCAAAAGCAGACTTTACTTCTGCAACACCTGAAAGACTCCTGGACACAAAATGAGCAGCCTGTTCTCGGCACACAACTGCGGCCTACATGGGGGTGCTGGCGTGGAAGAAGCGGCCGATCTTCCTGCTGGCTATCCGACTGCTAAAGGTGGACGCGACAGGGGCTCCCGTTCCCCCCCCCTTGCCGGTGGGGGTTATCCCGGCACCAGCACTCACACCGCAATCACGACTACCCAGTGGCCCTGCGACACAGCACATGTCCCTGCTGGAAGAATCGGTGGAAACCAAGATGGCGGGTGCAAGACCCCACAACTTGCCACAAGGCCCGAGGGAAACGACTCTCGCTAAGCTGGATGCACTACTCACAGAATTTTGGCGCAAGCTCGAAGAGAGGCAACAGACTGCCAGCAAGCTTGACCACTCACCTCCGGCTGCTGACATGAAGAGCCGAAACCAGCCCGCATCTAAAGCACAGGAGGCTCACAGACAGGAAGCTTCCACTCGACGACCACACGCCGTGTGGGTCTGCCGCTCCTCTGTAGCTACACATGCACTCGCTCGCACTAAGAAGAGGAGGACAGTCCATAGGAGGAGTGCAGTTCCTGCAAAGCCAACTCACCGGCAATGCCTCATCAAGCTACAAGCCACCAGGCGAACCACCGCCGCATGGCAGATAGTGAGGAGGCTGGCTGGATGCCACCAACTCGCTATGGCTGAGCCCTACCGCCATCGGCACACCTCGCACCCTTTGAGAGATCACGCCCATCACAAAGAGAGGCACCAAGGAAGAGGGTTGCTGTCCCAGGTGATGATTGACGCTATTCCCCAAGCCTGCACCTACCTGAGTTCACCAGGGACGGACAAGGTCCGTTGCCTTACTGGACACTCCACTGGTTGGGACTGTAGATACCCACTGAGGGGCATCGGGTAGTTGTAAACGTAGGGCTATATCCTGCCACAGGCCTCCCACCACATCAGGCCACACACAGCAGTACATACCCTGACTAGATTAAAATGGCTTCACCATAGCTTGATACTTAACACCTCTGGCTGAACAGGCACCCTGTACCATTATTATGCTCCAATGTTCCATATTGTTTTAACTTACTTATTTTGCTAACCATAGGGAATCGCGTTCTCCCATCATCACAGTTAGCCAAGGCTGTAGGAGGCGTGACAGGGGCCAGTGGCAAATATATGCGGTGTGTAACCCCAGCATGTTAAAATATGTATCTTAGTCAGATCTTCTATTCAGATCCGCAGTTTAGCTTGCTTTATAAACTATTAAAAATGTGCACCATCCTCAAATGTTATGACACAACATCTCGATGTATGTTCAAGGAATGATTATTGCTGCCGTCATGGCATTTCAAATCTGTATGTTAATCTTTGCACAATAAAAATAAAGAATTATAAAAAAAAAAATCTAGTCATGTCTCTGTCCTGGTCTCACCAGCAGCTATAATGTCATGTATGTGTGTAAAACTCTGACATCTGTCAGCCCTACCAAAGCAAAATCCTTCTGGAGTTCTTCTAAAGGACTTGAATTATTTAGCACTGGCATGCATATAGAGGTCAGCTGCGACCGGGCCCATCACTCCAGGGGGCCCGGCCGCCCTGCAGTCCC